CCCTCTGTCGCCCGGGGGAGGCAGGGTGAGTCTCCAAAGGGTCCTAGGGTGTGTTCTAGGACTCTTTGGAGACTGACCCTGCCTCCCCTGGGGGCCAGAGGGGATGAAATCACCACCTTTGGGGGCTCTTCTGAGGCTTTGGAAACTTCAGAAGAGCCCCAGAAGGTGGCGATTTCACCCCCTCTCACCCCCGAGGGAGGCAGGGGGAGGCTCCAAAGGGTCCTGGAACACACCCTAGGACCCTAGGGTGTGTTCCATAAGATGGACCTCTCCATAAGGCTCACCAAATTTTAGGAGAAGAAAGCAGATAATTTTTTCCTGTTTTCTTCTCCTAAAAATTTGGTGCGTCTTATGGAAAGGTGCGTCTTATGGAGCGAAAAATACGGTACTTAAATTAAACGTGAACATGTACATGTATTTTATTATTAATATTGCTAGTCCACAAATAGAAGCCTGCTTGTTTACAGATATTCATATCAGTCATTTGTGGCATATCCTTATTTTTAAAGTGAACACCACAAATACATGGCAGAGGGGAAAAGAATTAAATAAATGAAAACTTCCTTGACTGGTGAGAGGGAATTCTTATTTGCTAAGGAAACTAAGTGTTGCTCACCCACTCAGAATAAAAAGTGAGGTACTGAAGTAGGGCATTCTAGAGTGCAGAATGAGGTCAGAGCATGGTTCCTCATTGGTTGCCTCCTCTCTCTGCCTTTAAGGGAAGGTCCCTCTTCCCTGAGGCTATGCAGTAAAGTACCAGCCCCTGGACCTGGCTTAATTTATCTAGGGAGATTCCATTGGTTTCATTTTCTGCCCATGTCCCAAGGTTTTAAAGATCCCATAACCCATCTGGCCTCAAGGACTATTAATTTTCTGCACAGAGCATGGAGCCAGCTTAAAGCTTAAATCCTTGCACCCATCAAGCAACCTAAAGCAGCCTTGAAGTCTTGCTGCAGGTCAACAAGAAATATATTTCCCTAAATGTACTCTATTCCCTCTGAATAATTCTGGACATGTGTACACAGTACGGTAGGAATCACCCTTTTTGCCATTGTATCCCTCATTTCATGATTTCTTTCTGCCCCTATCCAGACCTCCCAGAGATCAGAGCCTTGCCTTTAATCAGACCTATGTCTTTACCACCCAAGTGAGTGGTCGCAACATCAGGAAGAGGACCACCACCTTGGCCAAACAGCAGGCAAAATAGGCCATCCCATTCAGTGTTTGATGTGGTGAGGCCCAACAGCAAGCTAACTTAGGCAAACTGCACAGTCCCAAGGGACCCCCAGAAGAAGAGAATGTTAAACCACTTCTGTGCATCCTCTACCTGGAAAGCCCTGGAAATAGTTGCCATGAGTTAGAATTGACTCGATGAGATGCAATTATTACTAATATCATCATTCTTCTTTCTTACTTAACTTTCAGGAATTTTCCTTATCAGTTCACAGTGTTAGGCAGTGATTTATTATTGAAGTGGGACAACAGCAGCATTAGTGTTGAATGAATCACATCTTCAGTGAATTCAGTATTTTCCCTTCCAGCTATGTTTCTATTAACTACATTTTTAATTAGAAACAAATCTGGTAGTAAACTAGAATTGTAGGTAGATATGTATAAGAATAACTTGATTCAATTTACAGGTTTGTTTACTCTTTTAGTTTATGATCTATCCAATTGGTATCAACACTTTCAGAAATCCTAGTTAGCAGGGGGGAAGAATCAATATTGCTGCTGTCTCTATATCTGCTGTTGTTTGAGAAACATTAATTTCAAATATAAATTCATGTATAAATTGTGGTATTATTTATCATCAGTACAAGTCAAGCTCTATTCAGATGGTAAAGCATTCACATACTACTGTGGGATGAGGTGCCCTCACAGACCATGGACTGCCAGTGGTCTAGGATTTTTCAACAGTACTACTATCATTTGAAATTGCCTTGGAAAGATGGGCTTAAATCCTCATGTTTAAAAAACTTACAAGTAGAGAGAGGAACAGAGAGTCAAAAGAGGAAAAGCAGAGAGATCAGAATGAAGGAGAAAACATGACGAGAAGAGAGCAAACGGGAAGAGGGGAATGAGGAGGAAATAAAATTTGGCTTGGGAAAAACTATCTGGGTTCTAGGAGATTATTAAGAGGTAAAAGTTTGGAGTGGTGCTCCAATGAAGAGGGACAACAAAGCAACAGCAAAGTGTCGTGCTTATATACTGCCTCATAGTGCTTAAAGCATTCTTTGGCCAGTTTACAGTTTAATTATACAGACTACACATTGCCTCCTCAGCAGTCTGGGTACTGAATAACAGAAGCTTATGGGGGAAGAGATGAGAGGGGCTCTGACTGGAGTGCCCTTCTGATAGGCAGAACAAGGGCAGCCATGCTGTATTGAAATTGTGGAAAGTATTTTGAGTGTAAACTGAGCGAGAAATTTGGTATCTATGTTTGTTATAGGGTATGATTTCTATGTCAGTATCTTTGCTGCAAGATTCTGCTGTTACTGGTGAGTGATCTTATCAAACTAGATGGTTTGAAAAGCAATTCAACATTGCAACCCAGCACAACAGAAGTCTGACAGATCAAGCCCTGGGGCAGATTCAGATGGCAGTTTTGTCTCTATGACAACACAGAAAACACAGTAACATGGACCAGTAATGTGATCCAGAATAGTAAGAGTTTGTGCACCTGCCCATCTTCCAATAGGATAACATGCCACACTTTTCCAAAATGCAAAGTGTGTTCTCTTTTGCCAATAAAACAGCATTTTGTACAGAACAAACAGGGCAGTCTTTGCACGAAAGAATAAATGGACATAAATCTGACATTAGGAGCAGTACCATTCTGAAACAGTTGGTAGAGCATTTCTCTGTCTCGGAGCACTCTGTCTCTGACTTCAAAGTGACCATTATGTATGCGACTTTGGATTTTTTTGGAATTCAGCCCCGAAAATTTGCCAGGAATTTCTCCAGCCAGAATTCCAGGAATTGCTACCTCCAAAAACAAACAAAAAACACTAGACAAAGCAAAGTACAAGTTAGCCACACAGAATTAGGGGGCTGGCATTTTCTTGAGAGACACTCTGTACAGAGCTTAATAGGCAGGGAAACTACCAGTCTTCTAATTCCTTTTGGTTTTTCTTTTCTTTTTAAAACAGGCATAACACTTTATAAGTATCTAGTGCAATGTTTCATATTTAAAGTCTGTATAACTCCTTTTTGCGTGTTTGTACAATTGTACTTTGAATAAGACACATGATAGATTGTTCACTTGGAGACAATTAAAATAGATTTCGTTTAGAATTAGTTCAAGAATGCAATCATTTTCATTTATATCTACTTTATTAAGATAATAAAATGATTTTTGGTGTGACAGGATTTAAAGCATCCACAGAGAGAGGGAGGGAGTGGGATGGAGAGAGAAAGACTTTGTTTATGAATATCTGTATCCTCTGGCTCTTTCTGCTATCTTTTTGTTCTCATGTTCTCCTATTATCTCTTTTTCCATATTTTCTAAGATGGGAAAAGGGCAGTTGCACTTTACAAGTTAGTTTTATTCCATCTTGTCTCCTAGGAGAAAGAGAAGCTATATGTTGAACTAAAGCACATCTTAGCCCGTCAGCCTGGACCAGAAGCAGCAGAACAGTTGCAGTTGTATCGGCATACTCTGCGGGAGAAGACAAAACAACTTAAAGTACGAGTTATTTCTAATGTTTTATTATAGAAATAAATCTATATTAATAAATCTCAGCCCCAAAACAGCAGTATCAAACACAGGGAGATCTGTCTTCCAGAAGATATTTTGAATGTGGGGTATATTTAACTTGTGGATGAAAGCCACAAAAACAATGTTTTTCACAAGAAACACACCATGAAGAGGAAATTTATATATACAGTTTGATACTCTGGCACAATACATAGTACAATGAAAATGAAGACAATATATGTAACACAGTAAAGAAAACATTCATGAAAACAATCATTCATTTGATGATTCATCTAATAATAAATGAGAAAAGTTGGTCCAAGACATTTTGCTGCTTGAGACAAACCTGAAATTGACATCCGTCTTTCTGCATTTTTTAGATTTTTAGGGTTTTAGAATGTCAGCTCCTTGTTAATTTTTTTCTGCATTTTTAATTATTGTAATTTGCCTCAGGAGCCTTGTGAGAATGGATGGCAGAGAAAATGTTGCGTAAAGAAGGTATTTGTATGGTCAGTTTTATAATTAGGAATTGTGAATTGTCTGTTTTAAAAGACAAAATAATTTCAAAATATGAAAGGTTGCCTGCCAGGTATGATTCACACCCAAGACAGTTTATTTTGTAATTTTAAGTGGAAGATCCCAGAAGTACTTTTCTCCCTCACTGGCAGTAAAAATGCAAACTAATGATTTACTGCCTATGCCTACCTCCAGAATCTGCTGACTAGGCAGCTGCCTCACTCTGCCTACTAGTAGAGGAGGTTCTCTTTATAAGGGCAATGTGATTTACAGTTTTCTCTTCACTATTATTCACAATACATCAACAGCTATTAGTTAAGATAGGTAAGAGGCAGCATAATGCTCAGTTACAGACAGATAAAGCAGTCATGTGTATATCTGCTCAGAAGTAGTCATTGGCCGAAATCCTGTTGTCATAGCAAAAGTAGATAGATCATGGGGAGGTATGCCCAGCCAGGTCACATTTCTGATTGTGCAACTGACCACACACTTATTACACACTGACTAGATGCTGGCCTTGACCATAACAAATTAAATTCAATACAAGACAAGACTGTGCAACTCCTCCTGTGGATCTGCTTGCTGGATGAGACCTTGGAGCAAATTTCAGAATGGCTTGCACAACTTCTACTCACACAGGCCTAACTATGCAACAGAATTTCTTCCAATGCGTACTACTCACTCAGAACAATCAGACCTATTCCTGGATAAATTTGTACAGGATAGCAGCCTAATAGCATCACACGCTGATGACACCAGTTAGCAGGAGCTTAATAGAACTGGAGCTGGAAGGGAGCCTCAAAGGTCAGCTAGGAAAAGTCCCTTCCACAGAAATATAGATACATCCCTAGCCAATGGTGGTGCAACCTCTATTTAAAGATCTATAATGAAGGAGAGTCCACCACCTTTTGAGGTAGTGTACTCCACTGCTGAGTATCTTCTACTGTTAGGTTCTTCCTAACATTTAGTTGAAATCTCCTTCTTTGTAATTAGAATCTTTGAATGTTGTCCTGGGAAAGAAGTTTGCTCCATGATAGCCCTTCCACACGATAGCCCTTCAGATGTTTGAAAATGACTCTCATAGTTCAGTCTTTTCTTCTCCTGACTATACATACCCACGTGTTGCTTTTGTGCCCTGCTTGTGGATTTCTGGGAATCGCCAAAGTGGTCACAGTGGGACATAGAATACCAATCTAGAGAAAAGTGTGCAAAAAAATTGAAGTTTTTTTTAAAATAGGGCCGCCCCAGAATTTTTCAAGTAATTGTGACTTTTAGCCTAAAAACAAAACTTTTCTCATCTCTTGGCTATATTGATCTTTGATCTGATGCAGCCGAGTGCCTATTAAAATTCTTAACCTTCTAAATAAAATGCAAACCTATAGAATAAATCCTCATTGGGCTAGTAGCATTGAGTTACGCTTTTAGTAAAATATCTGAGAGTTCTCTGAATATGCTGATGAAAGCTAGTGTGTAAATTCCCTAACTGTTTGAGAGTACCATTTTGTGGTATAATGTTTGTTTATAAAATTAAGAAATGAAAATCTAATTAGAGCATTAATTTACAACCTATTACTATAAATGTGCATCCCACTTGGGCCTTTGGAGACATTGCCAGAATTTTGTACGAGGCTTAATTTCCTTTTTAAATGAGCAAGATTTTATAATATGCCAGTCAAAACCGTTTTCCTTCTGTCTTTAACAAGCTAGTGGAAATGGATTGAGAAAACATTCCTAAATCCTTCATCTTTCTCTAACAGTACATCCTTGTATATTAGTCTCACATCTTATTAAGGGGCTGACAAGAGTAATCTCTCTTAACCCCTTGTCACTGTAATACAGGATTTCCTTGGTGAGAAAAGCTTGTTTATGCCTTCTGGAATTGCTTGAAGCTCCATGTTAAGTAGCAACTTGGCTTATGCATAATATGCTGCTTTCCCCACATTTTCTTTCGCATGAAAATACAAGAGTATACACTGGGATTTTTGATAATAGTATGTATCCATACTAAAGAAGGCAGAAAGAAGAAGAAAAGTCAAAACTACTTGACATAGATGGCAATAACTAGGGGTACAGCTTATATCTAGTATAGGACATGGCTATCAAAGATTTTTCCTATGCTGACTAGGTGATATGCAGACACTTAAATACATAGTAATTGTTTAATGTTCATGGTTTTTTCAGTTATAAAACTGGTTGGAAATAAAATATTTAAAATAGATATTGAAGTGCGAGAAACAAAATTACAAGTATGAAATATCAGATTTATTGGTTTCTTACCATTATGATTTCTAAGCTGTTGAGTTTCCATGAGTATCTCAATGTTTTTCATGCCACTGGAATGTTACAGAAGTATAACATGTTTATGAATATACTATGTTAAAGAAAGATACTATATGTGATGAAGGAACTAAAAAAGATCCCTAAGAATAAGAGAATGTTGTTGGAGACCAGGGCATTAGCAGTCCTGCTTACTATGTAGGCTTTTGAAAGTTGGACAAAGAATACTGACAGGAAAAAAGTCAGATTCATTTGTAATATGGTGTTGAATGATAGTTTTACAGATACCATGGACTGCCAGAACGACAACTAAGCGGATTCTAGGCCAAATCAAACTTGGACTCTCATTAGCACCTAAAATGAGTAATCTGAGGCTATTGTACTTCAGGTGTATTGTGAGAAGGCTAGACTCACTGAGAAAAGCAGTAAAGTTGAAAATGTTCAGAAAAGGGGAAGACCTGGCATAAGATGGATTAAGTCAATAAAAAAGCCATGATCCTCAGTTTGTAGACCCTGAGCAGGGCTGTTAGTTTTAAGACCTTTGGGAAGACACTAATTTATAGGATCAAGATAAGTCAAAAGTGATTTAATAACAATCAAAACAAAAAACTTATCTTATAATATTAATGTTTATGAAACTAGAGGAAGCAGAGAATTGTATTCTAGTTTTAGCTGTATGTCATGTAGATATCAATCCAATTTTTTCCTCCCAAAATATCCATTTCTGGTAAATAGATTTTTCATTTTAATGTTCATATTCTAAATGATGATATGCCATTGTGATGGCAAAACATGCAAAATATTAAATAGACTGGGTTAATTGTGTGGTAGGGGTTTAAATAAAAAAAATTGCATACAACAGTACACTGCTGGAGTTTCATTGTTTTTTTCTAGTTCTATAAGCAGGAGTGCAATTATTCTTGTGTTCCCTAAATTACTGTTTGTGCAAATAATTACATAATTGCTTTCATCTTTCTTAGAATCATAGAATAATTGAGTTGGAAAGGGCCTATAAGGCCATCAAGTCCAACCCTCTGCTCAATGCAAGAATCTAAATCAAAGCAAATCTAACAGATGATTGCCCACTTTTCTCTTGAATGCTTCCAGCATTGGTGGATGCACCAATTTATTTATTTATTTATTTATTTATTTATTTATTTACTTACTTACTTACTTACTTACTTACTTACTTACTTACTTACTTACTTACTTACTTACTTACATCTCACCTTTCTCCTTGAAAAAAACCCAAGACAGCTTACAAACAATGGAGGACAATATTTAAAGCTGAAAACAATGAATATACAATGGTGATTAACATCAATAAAACACAATATTTAAAACTACGAACAATGAATAAGGAGGCATCTTACAACATTAACAGGCAATATTAAGGCGAAGATCAATAACACCAATTACCTTCTGAGGTAATTGGTTCTGCTGTTGTACTGCTCTAACAGTTAAGATGTTTTTTCCGGATATTCAGCTTAAATCTGGCTTCCTGTAGCTTGAGCCCATTGTTGCGTGTCCTACACTCTGGGATGACTAAGAACAGATCCTGCCCCTTCCTTTTTATGACAGCCTTCCAAGTATTTGAAAAGTGCTATCATATTTTCCCTTAGTCTTCTTTTCTCAAGGCCAAACACACTCAGTTCTTTCAGTCTTTCCTTATAGAGCTTGGTTTCCAGTCCCCTCATCTTTGTTGCTGTCCTCTGAACTTGCTCTAGTTTGTTGCAATCCTTTTAAAGTATGGTGTCCAGAACTAAACAGTACTCTAGATGAGGCCTAGCCAGTGCTGAATAGCGGGGAACTAGTACCTCATGGGATTAACTTCTGTTAATGCATCCTAAAATTCTTCATTGGCCAGTTTTCACGTTCAAACATAATAACATGAAATATTATAGTATGAATGATCTTGGTCTTCATCTCCAACAAGAAATCATCACACTTCAAAATCTTTTCTAGTTCCTTCATAGCTGCCCTTTCTGTTTAAGCAGCCATTTTGCTACATTAATTTCTATCAAACATTTTGTTTGTATTATTAATCAGTTTTATTATATTTTTTTGTTATTTTGTCACATTTTATCATGGGTTTTAACTAATGCTGGTCACCCTCAAAATACATAAAATGTTCAATATTTTGTATGTATGAGTAAATAAATGAACAAAATTGCTTGAGTGACTGTCAAGAAGCAGCGATAGTGTACTTAAAAATATTACTTGCTCCTTCAGTCTCCCAGTTGCTGGCCTTGAGTTGTCTGTATCTTTTCCCCTTGTAAGCTCAAGCTTGTGATTTCATTGAAAGGGAAAGGGTCCTTTCTGTTTTCTCATAAATTGGATCTGAAATGAGCCTGTTGGTCCAGTTGAGCTGCGAAAAGGAAGAGTTGATAATCTGCTAGGGAGAAAAAGTGTAAGTCAAACTTAGAGAAGTACAAAGCCTGAATGTGAGCTGGTTTGAAGCCCCACATTTACTGGTATATTGGGAATTAATTCCCTGACTAGTTGTGAAGAGGTGAGCCTCCTGTGAGGGGCTGGGAATTATGATTTACACCCTTGTGTCATCCATCACTTAGTAAACTTGGAGTCAGACAATAAATTCAAAATTTATTACTATTTACAACACTTATCCACCAATAAACTCCTCATATAAATAAATCTGCAAGAAAAATCAGTTATAGTACAGCCATGGCTTGTACAAGTTCAGCCTCCCCTCCCTTATGTCCCCTGCTGTTGCAATAATGAAGACTGCTTTTCCAGGTGCAGACAGTGATGTTGGTTTAGGGTTAAATAATCACAGTTGACCTATCCCTGTTTCAGAACCTCTCGGGCTCTTGCAGCTTAACACAGGCTTTTGGAGGTTCCTTTGATTCTTCCAGGCCGAGCTCTTTCAGATAGTCTGAAATATAGAGGAGAATTATGTTTGGAGGTTACAAAACCAGTATGTGCTTCAGAGTCTGGATTATCAGTCTTCCTTTCAGGGGCATCAACCCAGTACTCTATATTGTTCTCCTCCTCCTCTTCCTTCCCATCATCTGCCAGAGATCTTCCTCCAGTTTCCTTATATATATTCCCCATTTGGCTAGAATTTTTCTTGTTGGGCTTTTTCCTGCTTCTTTCCTATTCCTGCCCTTCCAGACCTCTCCCACCTTCAGATTCCATCGGAGTACTCAGTCTGGATAGTGCCTAAGCAAAGGATCCAGTCCATGCCTCTCATTTAACATCAATAAAACACAATATTTAAAACCAGTCCGTGCCCCTCACATGCCCTTGGCAGGGACCTTTGAAGAGCCAGTAGAATGGGAAAGTAGACTCACCCACTCACACCAGTATAAGCAGTTCTCTGTTTTACCTTAAAATAGTGACTGTATGCACTGCAGGTGAAAACTGGTTATGTTCAAGATGTTTCAAGGACTAAAAAAGTTAATTGTGATACTTTAAATTTGCCCAGTGTACTAGATATGTTTACAAAGGACAGCCATTAAACAGTACTTTCTAAAGTTACACATGAAGGAAGGATGTCAGCCATGGGTTGTTTGTTGTTGTTGCTAAAATTGGTTTTATTTGTTTTTTTTAAGGTTTTATCTTCTGAATTGAATATGTATGAATCACAGAGTCAAGAATACAAGTATGAAATTGAAAGACTTGCCAATGAGCTTCTGAATATAAAGAAGAAATACCTCGCACAAAAACGAAAGGAACATGAAAACAAGTAAGAGACTATGCTAGTAGTAGTATGGAAAATAGCAAAATGTTTATGCTAAATTACTGTTTAGTTGATATCCATGGGTATTCGTGCATGTGCATGCTTATGTGTATGCGCACATGAACAACTATCCCTGAATTGAAGGATTAACCTGATAATTCTCAACTGATGTTAGTGCCATAAATAGGAATACCCTCATATAGTTTCCCCCTTGGTCAGTGCATAACATGAATGTAAAACTACACTAGTGAGAATATACATACAGTTTCTCTTATCACTATCCTGTGTCAATTGCATGTGCAAATGGCATAGATAACATACCTTTTCCTTGTCTCGTCTGTCTTTATGTAGACTTTGTTTTTACCAAATGAGGAGAGTGACTATTGTTTTCTTGTCCTGGTGGAATATGTAGCCCTCCTATCAGCTCCAGTCAGCATAGCCAGTAGGGAAAGGGGATGAGATTTGCGGTCCCAGCAACCTCTAGAGGACTGCATATTTTCTATCCCATGTAGCAGCAGATAAGCACTTCTTTAAATGGTTTCCTTACAGAGAATATTCTTGTGCTCCAGTTTCTGTGTTCCAGTTCACCTGTTTAGTGCAAACCCAGAAGAGTGAAAGAAGTACTGTATTAATATCTGGTGTGGTGAAGACACAAGTCATTGCAGGACAGTGGCTGAAATCATGTTGCACAGTTATGCAAAAGGCATAACATTTAGTGGTGAATTGCTGTGAGTTAAGAGGTCTCCATAAGTATTATCTGTTGTATGCTGAGCTGTGTATATCAGCATTGCCAATGGAACTCCCAGAAGTACAAGCTGGACTTCGAAGGGGCAGAGGAACTAGAGACCAAATGGCTAACATGTGCTGGATTATGGAGAAAGCCAGAGAGTTTCAGGAAAACATCTACTTCTTCTTCATTGACTACCCAAAAGCCTTTGACTGTGTCGGCCACAGCAAACTATGGCAAGTTCTTAAAGAAATGGGGGTGCCTGACCACCTTATCAGCCTCCTGAGAAATCTATATGTGGGACAGGAAGCAACAGTTAGAACTGGATATAGAACAACTGATTGGTTCAAAATTGGGAAAGGAGTACGACTGCTTATTTAACTTATATGCAGAATACACCATGAGAAAGGCTGGACTGGAGGAATCCCAACCTGGAATTAAGATTGCTGGAAGAAATCTCAACAACCTCAGATATGCTGATGATACCACTCTGATGGCAGAAAGTGAGGAGGAATTAAAGAACCTCTTAATGAGGGTGAAAGAGGAGAGTGCCAAAAATGGTCTGAAGCTCAACATCAAAAAAACTAAGATCATGGCCACTGGCCCCACCACCTCTTGGCAAATAGAAGGGGAAGATATAGAGGCATTGACAGATTTTACTTTCTTGGGCTCCATGATCACTGCAGATGGTGACAACAGCCACAAAATTAAAAGGCACTTGCTTCTTGGGAGGAAAGCAATGACAAACCTCGACAACATCTTAAAAAGCAGAGACATCACCTTGCCGACAAAGGTCCGCATAGTCAAAGCTATGCTTTTTCCAGTAGTGATGTATGGAAGTGAGAGCTGGACCATAAAGAAGGCTGACCACAAAAGAATTGATGCTTTTGAATTGTTGTGCTGGAGGAGACTCTTGAGAGTCCCCTGGACTGCAAGAAGAACAAACCTATCCATTTTGAAGGAAATCAACCCTGAGTGCTCACTGGAAGGACAGATCCTGAAACTGAGGCTCCAATACTTTGGCCATCTCATGAGAAGAGAAGACTCTGGAAAAAAAACCTGATTTTAGGAAAGTGTGAAGGAAGGAGGAGAAGGGGACGAAAGAGGACAAGATGGTTGGACAGTGTCATCAAAGCTACCAACATGAATTTGACCCAACTCCAGGAGGCAGTGGAAGACAGGAGGGCCTAGTGTGCTCTGGTCCATGGGGTCACGAAGAGTTGGACACGACTTAACGACTAAACAACAACAATGAATATTTTTAAATTTCAGCAATTCACTGCTAAATGTTATGTATTTTGTGTAACTGTTCAATGAGATTTCAGCCTTTATGTGGTACAACTGGTGCCATATGCTCTATCCATATATAGGTCAAATCCTGCTGGGTAGAGTCTGCCTGTGCAATTGTAATGATGTCATCTATAGTGTCATATTGTCACTGATTAAATGCTTTCTTTTGTGATTTTAGAGTGCACACAACTTGTACACCCTGCAATTGCACAAGAAGCTTTCATCATCAGCAATATGCCATTCCTATGACATCATTTCCATTGTGCTGGCAGAACTGCACAACAGGATTCCAGCCATAAAATTTTAGCAGCCAAGATCCCATTTAGTGCAGCCTTCTGTGGATGTAGGAAATTCAGAGCTAAAGCATCCTGGCAGATACCTGCCTAACTTCTTTGTAAATCCTTTTAACAAAAGAGAGCCCATCATTTTGAGGCAGTTTGTTCTACTAGCAAAGATTTCTTATCATCAGGCAACCCTACCTAATCTTTAGTCAAAATCTGCTTTCTAGTAATATGAGTCCACTAGTGCAGTTTCTACTCAAAGAAGAAGAAACTTGCTCCATCTTTTATGTGCCAGTCCTGCAAATATTTAAAGATACAGTAGTTATCATATCATCTTTCAATCTTCTCTCATCCAGGCTAAACATAGCCAGATCACTCAACTGTTCCTCATAGGGCTTAGTTTCCAGAGCTATTATCATCTTTGGCGCCTTCTCTGGGCACATTCTAATTTTTTGAAATGCTTGCAAATTTGTGGCCTGTGTTTGGTTATTTGGAGTGTGTGATTTTCAGGTGTATATTAATTACATGTTGCAATCTCCCAGCTATTAACCCCCGCCCCAGGAAAGGCTGTATTCTTTCCTGACTAGGATATTAGGAATATAGTTTTACTCTTTCACATTAGTGGAAAAGTCATATACAGGTATATACACATATATGTAACCATCCTGGAGATTCCTGTTTCTAGAGTGTTGTAAAAATCATAGCTGCCAATGGGAAAACATTACTTGTTTGTTTGTTTTTTTAATCATCCAGGGTGGGGGGCTGATTCTAACCCTGTCTAAATTCCTTTTTAAAACTAGGACTGTGCTGTACTAGATATAGTAAAATGTTCATACTAGGTATGTAATTGTTCCTTGTCTCATCCCCATATATGAAAATGGGGCACCTCCAAATTGTTCTTGCCTGGCTCTGCTTGAAAATTGCTCATTGAGGTTTCTTGTGAAGTTGAAGCAGCTTGAGAGTGAAGCATTATTCAAAATAAATAAATAAATAAACACTTTTTGAAGAAATACATGGGGGAAACCCAGTAAGTAATAGTATTCTGGGCAGTAATAGTATTTGGTTTAGGGCATTTGTTATAATGCTGTCACATGTCTAGTTAGTTGTTAATAGATTTTTGACTATTTAAAGGGCTGTTCTACAGTTGTACGGTTTGTTTTCTTCGGCCATACTTTTCCAGTTTGTGGGATTAGATGGGCATCCTGCAGTTAAGATTGTATGAATAAAAGGATTTTGTTGTTGTTTGTCCAGTTCCTACTCCCAAAATTTCCATTAATATCTCATTTGTAAATAATGAATTTGCTTTGATTTGAAGCTTCTTTCTCTTGCTTAATCATGTTTTAAAACAGCAAACAGTTATGATGACTGGATTAGCAAAACAGTCAGTGTTCAAAGGCAACCTCTGTCCAACTGCAAATGGCATAATGCTGCCTTGATGTTCAGAATTAGCAACAATTGTTCATGACTAATGGCCTTCTTGGAGCTTTGTGATCAATACACAATGCTACAATAATGCCTGGCAATCCATTTCCAACAGCTAAGCTGTCCTTTAGATAACACCCATAATCTTTAGAATTTTGCTGAGTTATTTTAGCATTAGAAGAGAGAAAATCCATTCTATTGCACTTTATTTCTAAAATAATGTTTCTGTTACCCTTCTGTTTTTAAGGGATATCAGAGACAGGGAACAGGGTCACCTGTATATTTACAATATTACAAAATTCTGCTGTTAATTTTTCATGCAGTTTTGCCATTGCAATGATCCTAGCTGAACCTTCACCTTCTTTCTGCAGAGTGGTTCTATGATCAAGCAAACCTGCTTAATTTTAGCCATACCTTACATGTAGATCAGTTTTATTGCACCTTGAAGACATTTTCACTACAAAATGTTGAGTCCATAATACAGTGGTGCCTCAATTTACGACCATAATCCATTCCAGAAAATGGCCGTAATTCGAAATGGTCGTAAGTCGAAGCACCATTTCCCATAGGAATGCATTGAAACCCCATTAATCCCTTCTGGCCAAAGAAAAAAATCACCCAAAAAAATCACTGCAAGAGTCTTGGAAAATTAATCCTTTCCAGCTGAAGCGAGGGAGGGGGAGAAAAGCAATCATGCATGCAGAATTAGATTTAGGCATCCTTCAGTCTCGAGAGTAATCCTTCAGTAATGTGCTCTGTATGGAGGACTTGGAACAGCGTCTAGTGTGGCTGAGAAGGATAATTCAAGAGTGATAATCCCTTCCATACTGAAGAGAAATACAATCTATACCCTGTCCAGCTCCCTGATTTTGCTGCTTTTGTGACTGCCTCTTTGCCTCGATGTGCTGGACAAGGGTCTCTTCAAATTGGGAGAGGC